TTATATTATATTATATTATATTATATTATATTATATTATATTATATTATATTATATTATATTATATTATTATATTATATTATATTATATTATATTATATTATATTATATTATATTATATATATACATATATATATATATATATAGATATATGGTCATACATGCCATGTATCATGTACCAACCAAGTGTTAGTTATACGTACCCTATACATCCCTATACATTGTATATTATGCATTATCTTCTTGTATGGGGTTTATGGCGGATAGTTGGGTCGCTCGCTGCAAATTGTCCAAACCCAAACGCTGCAATACATAATGTACAATGTATGGTTTGTAACATTCATTTGACACATGATATATGAGATACATGTATACATATGTATGTATGTATGTATAGTTATATAGGATGTCAGATTGTCGACCGAAACCAGGTTTCACTGCTTCGGGATTCGTTCGCAGGCTATTGCTGGAGCCTGTAGAGACTGTTCAGACACCCTTATCTTCTCCTTGACATGGTCTTGTTAATGACTTACCGGGGCATCAGGGTGTAGGGCCTAGGGCGTAGGGTTTATCAAGACTTGTGCAGGTCCGAGCCCACCTAGCGGCAAGCGAACTTGAGCTGGCGGAGGAGCAGGAGGCTTGCTGTCGCTCAAAGAAGTGGGGGTTGATCAGAGTCATTGTTCTGAAGACTGAGGATGTGGTTTTGGCTGTGGAAACGCTTTGTGTGTCTCAGCTAAGCGGAGGCGCAGAGGTGGACGCGAAAAATGCGAAAACGCGAAAAACGCGAAAAACACGAAAAACGCGAAAACGCGAAACACGCGAAAACCCAAAAAACGCGAAAAACATGAAGAGCGTAGTAATAGTAATGGTACTAGTACTAGTAATAGGAATAGTAATAATATTAGTAATAGCAATAGTAATAGTAATCTCAAGAGTACTAGGAAGCAGTATTAGTTTTTCGCATTTTTCGTATTTTTAGTGTTTTTCGTGTTTTTTGCGTTTTTCGTGTTTTTTTGCGTTTTTCGTGTTTTTCGACACTTCGTGTTTTTCGACTTTTTGCACGCTGAACGCCGACTCCGCTTGTACACGACGCGCAAAATGCTCGCTTAGCTGGTTTTGGAGCCCTAATCAAAATTGCATCGTCTCGGAGAGCACAGTTTGCTTGGGTACCTCGAGGTTCCTAAGAGATCATAAGGTGGTTGTCCATCCTGCAACCTTATCCCGCCGAGTGGACATCATAAGGATTCTTGGGGTTGAGGTCCCCAAGCTCATCATGATCATTTTGGGGTGAGCGTGGCCTTAATCGAAATCATGGCGGCATACCAAACCCTGGCGCCTCGCTTTTGGAGCTGCCGTTGGATTCGGGTGCTTCGGAAAAGGACTGGTCTCCGGCTCCCGGCTTGGGATCATGAGGAGTTCAGGGTTCAGCATCCGATGCCTCAATCATGAATCATGAACCCTTGGGGGTTTCTGGATCCTCAAACCTTGGTATCCCGACTGTCGTGCCAAGCAGTCCGCAGCCGCCCTGCTGAAGGTTCGGCGGAAGCTGGAGGCGGAGATGGAGGCGCTAAATCAGCGTATCCGGCAGACGCAGGCGGGCTTGGCCCCTTGTTTCTTTCATCCAGGGGCCAGGGTTCAAAGTTTATCGGGTTCACCTCTGGGTTGAGAAAAATGGCGGCATCATCACTTCATAACGTGGGTTGGTTTCCTGAGATTGATTGATTTGATGCTGTCGAACGGTTTTCTGCTAGGCTAGGGCCGGATTTGATTGGGCGCCCCACAAACAGTTTCACAGTTTAACAGCAGCTTCTTGAGGGTCTACATGCCCAGATGAGAAGCGCCACATCCAGGCAGAAGCAGCGCTGGTGCGCGCAGAGCTGGATGGGACAAGGCAGGGCTTCAGTTCAGGGCGCAGGAAACAGACCTACATGGTCAGCCTTTTTGAGACAGGGACGGGAAGCAATGGAAAGAAAAAGCTGCTGGTGCAAGATAATGCGAAAGGCCGAACTCGTCAGTCAGGCTCTTCAGCGTTCTTTACCCTTACCCAAACACGGCAGACTGGAGCATATTTCCTCGCGAGAGGGACCGCATAGCGGATATTATGCGCGTGTCTCTGAAAGAAATCACTAATATTTGTAATAGAAGAATGGTACTACGAGTCATATTGCCATCCTTTTCTTTTTGTTACTATATAGTGCTATACGCAAAGCCTTAAGCAATGAAGCCGAGACCTCAAAGCTCAGGGCCAGCGAGGCCGCGAACCTGTCGAAGCTCCGAGAAGAGCTCCAGGGCGCAAGGTCGGGAGAAGCAGAAGCCGAGGATGAACTTCGGGTTCAGACTTTTAGGGTTTAGGGTTTGGGGCTTTAGGGTTTGGGGCTTTGGGGTTTTGGGGTTTAGGCTTCCGGGTTTGGGTTTTGCTGAGGGTCTCGACCCAAGGTTGATGGAGCTCAGGCGTCGGGCTTGCGGCGGAGGGTTACGGGGTTCAGGCTCCAGGTCTTTTCGAGCCAAGGATCACGGTTTCGGAGGTTTAGAAGTCTAGGGTTCCGGGCTCCAGGCATTTGCGGAACTTGCGTTCCTAATTGGAGGAAGCACTCTACGAGGCCCCGAGGCCCGGCTGTGATTTGATTGGACATGCTTACGGCGCAGTGTGAGCTCCAAATTAAATACATTCCGGCTGGGAGCAGATGAAGGCACGAAATGCATGTTTGCTCATAAGCAAAAGGGGCACAGTGCGCCTGGGTGACAGAAAGCCCAGAACGTTCAAGAGATTCCTGTTGAAGTAGTTCTAATTGTGAAGTGAATGCATTTGTTTCAACTAAATAAAAGGGTTGTAGAAGGTGCATGATGTAATCCCAGCAAAGAGCGAACAAAATGGGAGCGGTATGCCATCGATCAGTCTGATGGCGATGATTGCATGATGATCGGCATGATGGTGTGATGACTCTAGGATGCAAATCAATAACAGCATCACTACAACCACACTAGCCGCCCCGACGCTTCATATTGAGTCTCTTGCAGGTCCCAGATCATCTCCCAGGCCGAGCTCACAAAGAACGCCCGGGAGGTGTGCCAGCTTGAGTTTAGGGTTTGATGTGGCTCAGTAGTTCAGGTTCCTGCCAATCTTTTCTGGAAGTTACTTGTTCCAGCAGTGACCTCACTCACCTTGGTCTCGGTGTCAGTTGGCAGAACCTGGCATTCACCCATACTGTAGTTGGTAGTTCCTCGTAGACTCTCCTGGTCTAGCGTCTAGCCCTGGAGTGATGCAAGCTCTACAGAGTGAAGCCTTCAACTTGCAATCCGAGCCGTGCACCACGCCAAAGCCTCAATCTCGAAAAGCCTTAATCCCCCTAAGCCCGAACACGTGAAGGCCTGTAGCTAGAGACGAAAGCCCTGAAAGCCCAAGAGCCTTAACTTCCGGAAAGACTTCAGATCCGCCATGATCCGCCCAAGAGCCACCAAAACAAAAGCTCCCGAACCCCTCAAAGCTACCGCAAAGCCCCGAGGCTTCTAGCGAGGCTTCCGCTGCCCTCGCGGCGATGGCGGAAGCCCGGGCGGCTGAGAAGAACGAGGCCCCAAAAAACGCAATCAGAGATTTTGAGGTCCATCTTCAGGTTATGGGTTTTAGGTTTGGTTAGGGTCTCGGCACGACAAGGACGGCCCATCTTGCATGCCCCTCAAAGCTGCGGACCCACAGTGGAGCCCACGGAAGATGCAGGCCGCAACGGCCTCTTCCCTACGGCAGAACCTCAAAGAGGCCCTGGCCGAGGTGCGCCTCTGGAAGGGTAGGGCGTCCGCTGCTAGCTGAGGCTGAGGGGCTGCTAGTCGGTGTTGTCAGGTTGCAGCGGCAAAGTCCGAGATCTGCGACCAGCAGGCACTCGGTTGGATGATGGTTGCCACCAAGTTCGTGTGAGATTCATCTTGTGGCGCGGCTTTGAGATGAGAATCCAACATGGAGACTGTGGAAGATGCCGCAGCAGAACCAGCAGAACCAACGACACCACCACCACCACCGCCGCCGCCGCCGCCGCCGCCGCCACCGCCACCCCCACCACCACCACCACCACCACCACCACCACCACCACCACCACCACCACCACCACCGACAGCAACAGCAACAGCGACACCATCAGCACCTGCATCAGCATCAGCATCAGCAATACTGCTGCTATTCCTCGTCCTGCTGAAGCTTCCGCCGCTGCTGCTGCTAATTACTACTACTACTGCTGCTGCTGCTGCTGTTGCTGCTACTGCTAATGCCACTAGCAGCAAACCATGCTATTGTTTCATGTCTCGGCCGTCTTAGAGGTGGATGCCAGCGTTCGACTGATGCAGCTGGAGCATTCAGAGGTGGGTACTGTTGCTGTCACGGCTCAGAAGTTGCCCCGAAATGGCAGTGCTCTTCAGGATCTTTTTCGAGGGTTTTGATGTGCCTGCCACTGGAAGGGAGAGCCAACGTGCCCTTGCTTGGGCGTGGTCGCTGCAAAGTCTCTCTCGCTCTCTATACATATGCGTGTACATAACACACACACACACAGACACATGAATGCATGCTAAAGCACGTGTTTGTGGTTTGTCCGTAGGCATGTATAGATGCATGCATGCATGTACAGTGCTTTTGTTTGTAGGTGTACGTACATGCTCACCTGTCGATCTATTTTTTCTGTCTGTCATTGCGTCTGTTTGTCTACTTAGTTTCAATATACACACATGTGGACCTGCTTTGTTCTGGCTTATGTTTCCATCGATAGTATCAGCCATTTCAATCAGCGATGCATCCATGTGTCGACTATCTCTCTCTCTCTCTCTTCCGCTCTGTCTCCCGCTCTCTCTCTCTCTCTTTCTCTATCTCTCTCTCTCTCTCTCTCTGGCTATCTCTCCCTCTCCAGTACTGACGCATGAAGATAGGTAGATGAAGTGCCGGTGCTGCCGGTCACTCCTGGCAGAGTTTGTAATTCCCAGAACTTTCCTGGCGAAAGGCCGAAGCCCTGACGGCGCTGTCTCGTGACTCCATGCAGTATCTTGGGGTGCACAAGACTTCGAGAAGTGGGTTGGAGTGCCTGCCTGGGGTTCTTGCAGGTGGAGTCCGATGTTTCACACAAAAGGTTTCTATCTCCTACCCTTATCTTGCACATCAGGCATGAACTCTCGGAGATGCTCGTGGCTCGCAGGGAGCAGGCTCCGGTGGGTTTCGACAGAAGCTTTGTTGTTCGGGTCGCACGATGCATCATTGCATCCGTTTGCATACTTGTCGAGTTGTAAAATGCTAGCTGTAGCTGAAATTGAAACTTCCTCGAGTAGGATGGGCATGGAACCAGGCGTGCAAGTTTCAATGGTTTCTGTCTCTTGGGATTGATTTAGTGAGCATCCTGCCGGAAAGTTCATGCGTTGCTGGTCCCTCGGCAAGATACAATCTCCCCGACTTCGTCGCTCCGTGTGCAACACCCCTCATTGCAAGCTTGATCAAACTAAAGCCTCAGCAGCACATGTCTGCAGCGTTTGCTGACCGCGCCATGAGCCTGAGCATTGGGGGCTGAAACCGCGTGCGACGCTGCTTTAGTGCAGTAGATATCGCCAGCTTAAGCCGTCCGACGGAAGCACAAGAATGGATGATCGGACGCGGGCAAGAGTCACTGGACTCTCAACACAACGGTGTGGCATGTCGTGCAACGAAACCGCATGCGACGCTACTTTTCTGAAATAGTAGTGCCAGCCTGTGCCTCTGCACTCCAAGAGGCACCCCAATGCCCCAATGAGGGACCCTCTAAGCCCTGAGCCATATTGAACATGAAAACCTAAATACCTTAAGAACCCAAAACCTACTTTTTTGTAGGGTCCCTATAAATTCCATATTAGGGTTTATAATAAGAACCTACAAAAAGTGGGTTTTGGGTTCTTAAGGTAGACCCTAAACCTGTCTCAGAATCCTCAGAGCCAGGGCGCGCGGCGCCTGATTTCATCGCTCCTGGCGTCCAGTTTCGAGGCATTGGGGAAGCTGTTCGGAGAGCGCAGCATGAGTTGATCATAACAGTGAAGCTGCCGCATTGGTTTGGAATAGCTAACTAGCAGTGATATCCCCTTACAGTCCCTGATATAAACGTAGACTAGTATGCCCCAGAAATCCTTGTCTAGCTTCGGACTCCGACGAAGGGCGATCCGAAAGGATTTGAAAGTCCAGCGATTTTTTATGTTCTTTGTTGTCCGTCCGTGTGTGTGTGTGTGTGTGTGCGTGCGCGTGAAGCATTATCCCACACAGAGTCAAGACGAGAAACACTTAGACGGAATGCATGCTGGGATGTGCAGCTGCAAGTGTAAACGGTAAGCCATCCAGAAAACAGCAACAAAGCCAACGTCCCGTCCCTAGGCCCCAAACTCTAATAGTTTTACATCCCCTTACCCTAAAACTGAAGACAAAGACCCTGAGCCCCACATCCTTTAATTAAAGTCAAAGGGACGGAGAATGATCGAGGCTTTCCTCCGCAAGACTTTTCGGGCCTGGCAGAAGGTGAAGGCCAGAATTTCGTGAGGCTGAGGGGTTTATGGGTTCAGTCTTTAGGGGTTTAGCAAGAATATCGAGGTTTGGGGTTTCAAGGTTTGTCGATGCAGAAAGCATGGCTTGTACAATCCGGCCGAAGTTTTTGATTGCTAGGAGGTACCGGGGTTTTGGATTTGTCAGCCTTTTCGAAGTTTGGGATTTGGGTTTAGAGATTCAAGATACTTGGAGGGTCGGGAGACTTAGTAAGTAGGTAATAAGTAGACGTCTAAGTACCCTAAACGGGACCCTAATTGGGTTGATAGTACTTATAAGTCTATAAAATAGCCATTTACTAAGTCCCCCGACCCTCCAAGTAGAGGGTGTGGGGGTGAAGGTTCGAGGCTTTTTGAAATCCAGGCGTGAGATATTGGGGTGTAGTGGTCAGAGATTCTAGGGCTTCTGGCTTAAAGGCTTCCGGGATCCGACAGAGCCTTCGGAGGTTCTAGAGATCCCGAAGATTTCTGGAGGCATCCATGGGTTTTATCAGGTCTTTGGGGTTGGCTTCTTTGGGGGTTTAAGGTTCCTCCAGCCCTGAACCCTAAACCCATAAGCTCCCCTAAGTTTTCTGGCCTCTTGGGTCAGAGAGAGTTCATTAGTCCAAGGACATCCGCACAAGCCTGCAACTAGTCACCTGTAATGTAGGGCTGCAGCTTAAGACTCTTCGTGTGAATGAGAGACTCCTTATTGTCTGCTCGAACCACGAGGACGACGAGCCCCTGGCGAAGGAGGCAGCAAAAGCTGCAGAGTGCAGGCGAGGCAGCGCCGAACAAATCACTTTCTGTTTGGAGGGGGCAGCGGTGATCTGATCCAAGTTTTGACCTAAGCTCGCATGGCGCAGGTGCAAGCTCCTTCGTCGGATGTTATATGATTTATGCCTTTTAGCCGTCCGCCGTCCTTTCGCTAGAACTTGCTATGCAACTTTGAGCGACACCTCTCATGCCGTTCCTTTCCTAGGCCCTAGGCACGAGCGAAGCCTGTGTATCGACATTCTCCGTGCCCCCTTCTGCTAGTCTGCATGGAGGCGAGAGGTGACAGAACTCCGCGCAGAGCTTGCAGCGGCTGGGAGCTCAACACGTAGAGCTTTTGTAAGCTTCCTACTTTGTTCGGGCGGCAGAGCAGTAGCAGTGAAAAGCAGCCGTCAACGCTCATGCTGTAGAGCACAAGGCTTTTGGAGGTGCGAACGACCCGTGAGAAGAGCGTTCCCAGTGCCGGGCAAGCAGACAGTCTCTTATCTCGCCACGGTTCACAAGTGAGCAACAACCCAGCAAGGCAACACGTGAAACCAGACGCGGCTATAAAAGCATGGCCAAGCTTGCCTCGGTCAGGATGTGCTGGCTGCGAGCACCGCGGAGGCTGATGCTTCGAGGCGATGTTTGCAGAGCAGACGGTTCCCTAAGATGCCTAGCCACAAAGTCATGGACCTCATGGCCCTTAGACATCTCGGCATGGCCGACTCCCAGCCAGGCTAAACCCCTCACAAGGAAGAACGGAAGCCCAACATCTTCCAAGCAAATATCGTTCCGATGCTTATACACTTGTAGGGTCGAGAGTTTGGACACCCTAACCTTGAACCCAAAAACCGCCACACCGACGCAGCCCTGCAATGTGTTCGAACTGACTCACACCTGATAGGATAGGAGCCGCGAGTGCTGCGAAGTTCCCCCATCGATCGCATTCCTGAACACGCCTTAGCTTGCCGCATTCCAGGCTCCACGAGACGCTCTGACAGAATTGCGGACACCGCACCGCGATTTTGCATCAACTCTCTAATTTAATGCCTTGGCTACACACTACACACCCTTGAGCGAAAACCCTTCTGTGGGGCATTCCGAGAAAAAAAGAAATTCCGACCTCGCTTCCCCCCCGAAGGCCCTAACGTCCCCGCAGTCTCTAAACCCCAAACCCTAAAC